CCTTGGGCTTGAACACAAATGAACCACAGGCATTTGCTGTTTCACTCACTCTCCGCCAGCTCATTCCTGCTCCCATTTACCCACCTCTGAGCAGCACCAATGACTACCTGACTGAACCCTCCGTCCTCCTCTCCCTAAACCACTCCTTATTTGATTAGTAATCATTTTTTTAAATTACCATGTTTGCTTATTTTATTTAACTGTTATTTTTATTTATGACATAACTTTAAAACAGTAGTTTTTACATATCATGCTTATGGAAGTACACAGGAAAACTAATTTCTATTAGATAATGTATTGTATTGTTGCATATTACATGAAAACATGCCCATTAAAAAGCCCATTAAGGGCTGGTGCTGCCTGTAGTCCCAGCTACTCAGGAGGCTGAGGCAAGAGGATTGCTTGAGCCTAGGAGATGGAGACCAGCCTGGGCAACCTAGTGAGACCCTGTCTTTAAAAAAAAAAACACAAAGCCAATTTAGCATTAAATAATTATGCAATTGATGTTTTGTGTAATGCATTTATACAGGAATCCTTGGGAGTATCACTATATAGGTATTTAAGAGGGTTTAGTTAAATTTTGGAATATTGGTTGGGATTTGTGGATGGGCTTAAAACAGAGTAATTTTTTCCTATTTAACATAACAATATATAGCTTATCCTCCCACTGCCTCTAAATTTGTTATCCAGCTATCAAACTAGGAAATGATTAGATTCAAATAACAATCAATGCCTGTATATAAATTATTATATATTTTTTAGAAAAAATGACATACAATCATTGATTTGAACCTGTTTTTCACAACAATGTATTGTGACTGTATCTATATGTAAATAAGTATGCCTGCAATACCCACAGCTCCTTTCTGAAGGCTTTCTGTCCATGGCTTTCTGCTGAGGGAACAGAACATTATTGTTTCTTACAAATATGGAGTTGCTTCTTATTAACTGACTTCACCATTCTGGTCATAAATGATTGAAGGACAGAAGGTTCTTACTTAATTCAGGGTTTGCAAGCAACTCAGGGGCCAATAAAGGCCAGACAAGTAACATAATTGAGGTAAGCAGGCAGATGTAAGGGACAATGTTGTATACTACAAAGAACTAGAGAGAACGTGACCAATCTTAAGGGGCAGGCCAATACTTAGCTTTTTCAAACCTTTGTCATTAGTAATAAAGATTAAGTGTTGCCAGATCTTTAAATTTTTAAGAAAACCTAAAAATTCCTATTTTTAAATGAAATTCTCTGATCTCCTGTGTGGGCTAACAAAGTGCAGGACAAAAAAAATCATGTCTATGATTCACATGTGTCTTGTTTTTAACTTCTGACCTTTCTAAGAGTAGTTCATGTGTGAAAGTTCCAATGATCTGTATGACCTCTGAAATGACTTGTCACAAAACTTTGCCCCATCAGGGATGATGGCGATGAGTACAGCCAATCATATTTTTTTGAGAATTTACAGAATATTTACAAAGATTTAGGCAGTGATAATGGGAGTAGAAGGTAGAAGACCCTCATAGAAGAGGTTGGTAGGAGGAAAATAAAGCAGTAAGTGCCAAGAGTAAGAGAAAATTATGATTATTAGAAGCTAAATAATACAGAGTAGAGGTTGAGGTAGTTGGTTACTAGGAATAGTAGAAACAATTAGATAGAAGCAGATTCAGTCAGGATTGACAAATTCAGAGGATGACTGGAGTACAAATACTCTGGTTTCTAAGCTACTGGGACTTGAATAACTCTCTAATTCTTTTAATTCCATTGTAGTCTTTAGTAGGTCTTAATGGATGGTTGCACTTGCACTTCCTCTGAGGATTTGTTTTTTGGTTCCATTGAAGCATGACCATGTAGATAAAATTCTCAACTTCCTTTTGTGCCATTTATGTTTCCAATAATTATTCACTTCCTGGAAGCAATTGAAATGTCTTTTTGTAACCCCAAATTTTTAATAGTCTTGATGTTCAATAATTTATTTAATTCCTCATGGCTGAACATTAAGATTATTTGCAACTTGTCATTTATATGCAATTTTTGTTACAAAAGCCTTTGACATTCATTATAGTGTACTTGATATTCCTTAGGATAAATTCTTAGAGGTGAGATTTTCAAAGAATATGTGGGCATTCTAAAACTTTTGATACATATTGGTAAGTTACCACTTAAAAAATGTTTATTGAATTTATACTCCCCATTGGAAATCTACAAGAGTGCCAGATCATACTGGGTATTATTTTTCACTTTAACTTTTATCAACATTTTGGGTGAAAAAATGCTGACTTGTCTTATACCTGATACATTTTATTGCTAGTGTTATTGAGCATCATTTTTTTTTTTTGGTATTAATTGTCCAATTGTATTTTTTTGTGAATTACTCTTTCATGTTCTTTGCTCATTTTCCCAAGGATATAATTTTTTTGGCTTGTTAATAGTAATAGCTATTATTAATTTAGAGTTGTTATGTGCCATAAATTATGCTAAGAACTCTATAAACTTTATCTCATTTAAACCTTGCAACAACCTTTGAGGTAACTTATTATTCACACATGAGAGAAATGGAAACTGAATTCAGAGAGTGCTATGGTCTGAATGTGTGCCACCAAGTTCATATATTGAAATTTAATCACCACTGTGACAGCATTAAAAGGTGGGGTCTTTAGGAGGTGATTAAGTCATGAAGGTAGAGCCATAGTGAATGGGATTAATGCTCTTATTTATTTACTTATTTATTTTTAATTAGTTTTATGTTTTTTGAAACAGAGTCTCACTCTTTGGCCCAGGCTGGAGTGCCGTGGCATCAGCCTAGCTCACAGCAACCTCAGACTCCTGGGCTCAAGCAATCCTTCTGCCTCTGCCTCCCAGGTAACTGGGACTACAGGCATGCGTCACCATGCCCGGCTAATTTTTTCTATACATTTTTAGTTGGCCAATTAATTTCTTTCTGTTTTTAGTAGAGACAGGTTTCACTTTTGCTCAGGCTGGCTGACCTTGAGTGATCTTCCCGCCTGGGCCCAGAGTGCTAGGATTACAAGCGTGAGCCACCGCGCCCTGCCTAATGCTCTTATAGAAGAGGTGCAAGGGAGCTGCCTCCCTCCTTGTCCTCCTCCCATCCCTCCCACCACGTGAGGGCACAGCCTTACTCCTCTTGGGAGGGTGCAGCAACAGGGAGCCATCTTGGAAGTAGACAGCAGCCCTCATCAGACATGGATCCTGCCAGTGCCTTGATTTCAAACTTCACAGCCTCCAGTAATGTGAGAAATAGATCTGTGTTCTTTATAAATTGCCCAGTTTAAGGTATTCTGTTATATCAGCACAAATGGACTAAGGTTTATTATGTTCAAACAGTAAGTAGTGTGATTTGAACCTAGGTTTGCCTGATTCAGATCATGAGTTTGGTGTGCTTTCATAGTCCCTGAGCAGGGTCACTGTCTATGGTTGTGAACATTATGATGCAGTTGGCCCAGCGGGGAGAGTAGGGAGTGAAGTTACAGCCTTTACTTGTCAAACTGCACACTCTGGCATGGGGCTACATCAGGCTGGAGGAAAGCGAACCTGTTTGTAATCTCTTAGACTTTATAATTTTCACAAAGGCATGGTGTGTTCCCGTGAGGAGGCACCGACTGCCTAATGGGCACTGGATTTATTTCGTGGTGGGAATATGGCTCTCCTTACCTCCCCCAAATCCACACAGCTGAATTACCTGAGGAAGAAGACTTTCCCAAATTTCTGCAGGGAACTCACAATCTCATCCTCAGGAATTGGATTGGCTATAAATTTGTGTAGTGAGAAAATCTCTATTACTTATATCAGTGTATTACGTCCCGTAAGGATGTTGGGACCTCCCCCCCAAAAAAGTCAGAAACTAATGCCAAGGGCCAGTGCGGTGGCTCACACCTGTAATTCTAGCACTCTCAGAGGCTGAGGCAGGAGAATTGCTTGAGCTTAGGAGTTCAAGACCAGCCTGAGCAAGAGTGAGACCCCCATCTCTATTAAAAAAGAAAAAGAAAAAAGGAAAGAAAGAAAATGTAAATAAAAAAATAAACTAATGCCATAGTGTATGGCAATAATAATTTTAGCTTTGAACATTGTTCTTTTGTCAGATATTTAAAAAATACCCACGATGTCTTCTTCCCTAGACGTTCCAGGTCATGGTGCAATTGTGACACATCTTTCAGAGAGCCCTTATGAGCTACAACCTCCCAGGGCTGCCTTTCTTAGGAAGTGATATCAGTTATTCCTTCTCTACTTATGACAGTTGAGTTTGCTTTTGTCTTGTCAGGAAGCACAGTATTTCCAAAACAATGAATACATATGCATGCTCATTTTGTGAGTTACATAATTTAAAATGTTGAAATTAACTTGAATTAAGATGAAACATATCATTGCTGTGAATGTTCTATGTATTGGAAAGATCTGGATTTAAACCCCAGCTCTGCTACTTACTGACTGTTATCTTTGGTAATTTTCTTCTGTGTCTTTACTGGTAAAATGGGGATCATAATGTTTTCTTCTTTTGGTTGTTGCCAGGATTAAATAAAATTTTGCATGCAAAGATGGCATCCCCAAAATGTTAATTAATTGTATTCTGTCATCAGTATAATAAATGTGTCAACACCTTCAAATGGTGAACAACCTATGGAAGCCTCATCAGTTAGGATCATCACCATGATACACCAGAAATAAAAATGAGGAACCACAAAAGAGCAGTAGGTTCTTGCACCCTATATTTTCATTTTTATTAAAATTCTCATTCAAGTTATAGCAGTATAACCTCTAATAATTTGCCTGACTAACCATATGTAATTATTTTTTTTTCTAAGAAGTAAAGAACTTCTCAAATCTTTCATTCTCACCAAGTACCTAGGGCAAAGGCATGGAGTAGGCCAGAGGACTCATTTTACAGATGAGGAAATTACTTGTTCTCTCTAAGCCTCAATATTTCCTCCTGGGAATAAGAGAGCTAATATAAAGTATGTTTCCCCACTTTCCTTTCTCCAAGGGAAATAGTTGGATGATTAATGAGATAATGAATGTGAAGAGAACTCCCTGGAGGAAAGACATTTTATAAACATTAAGTGAAGACTGACTCACTCACCCAACAGCTCAGAGGTATGGATAAATCTTTTGGTATGAATCCTAGCTACTTAGTCTACCTACCTCATGCACACCTTAAAAGCTGGATTCTGGAGCACTGCCTAAATGTCAAACTGATCCTACTTATGACAAAATTTATCATCCAGTTTGTAATTAACACCAAGTGTTTATGAAATTAGATGATTCATCTCTCAATGCTTTTTCAGGGTGGGAGGCAGAGAAAAGTGCTCAGGACTAACTTGGAATTAAATAGCTTATATAATGTAGCCAGGAGCTGCTTTGCTTGGCTTTTCACGGTCTTTCAAAATAAAAAGTCCTTTTCCAGAACCACTCCCTTTAAAACAAATTGATGTTTTTATATCTGAAGCTTTTCTAGGAGAATGGCAATGAATTGGTAAATTTTTAAAAAGCCAAAAGCAAAAGATAAAAACTCACAGCTGGAAGAATTGAATGAATACCATACCCAGCTGTTTTCTGAGGTCCTAAAGTATGTCAGGGATGTCAAGATGTTACTGTAGATGTGGCTGGAAGCTCTGTGTTATGCCTCTGACTCTGTGGGTTGAAATGGAAAACAATTCCAGAAGAACAAATAAAGAAGTGATTTTCCAACCCAAATCTTGTGTTAAATGAGAGTCATAGCATTTTTGTTAGATTAGAAAACCAGTCAAGAGACACACTACAGTTAATATACATTTAAGATTGCTATGCATTCTTGATAAATTGGCTTTTTTTTGTCATTATAAAATATCCCTCTTATGCAGGTATTCTAGGGCATGACCTCCTTTGCTCAGCTTTATCTGTCAGTACTCCTCTACTGCATTTGCTTTTTGTAATATAATTTTTTTGATATTTCTTGTATGCTGATGGTTCTCATAATTGTTGTAGATTTAAAAATTATTAAATGGCACCTCTGATCATTGGGATAAATTTGGGCTTTTTAGTAAATGGTGCTGGACACAAATGGGTGGCCATTTGGAAAGAGAAAAAAAATCAGATCCATATCTCATGTCTTATACAAGAATAACTCCAGAAGGGTTAGGGATTTAAATGTGAAAAATGAAAGCATATAAATATGTGAAGAAAACATGGGTAAATTCCTCTTTAACATTGTCAAAGGTGTAGGGAAGGAGTCTCTAACCATCACTCAAAATCTAAGGTCAATAAAAGTAAAGATTGAGAGATCTGACTATATAAAATTTTTAAAAATATCTTTCATGACCGAAAAATACACATCCTAAACAAAAGACACCACACAAACTTGGAGACACCTCACAAACTAGGAGAAAATATTCATGACATACATGTAATATTATAGAGATGTATAGAGAGTTTGCAGAAATTGAGAGAAAAAGACCAAGACCTAATAGGAAAATGGGGGGAAAAGCTATGAACAGACACAAAAATGTGTAAATATCCCTCAAATATATGAAAAAAAAGTTCAAATAGACTTATAATTAGATAAAAATACTGAGGTACAATTTTTCACTATCAGACAGGTAAAAATTAAAAAGCATGTCAGCACATTCTGTTAGTGAGGCTGTGAAGACACAGATACTCCCGCATAAATTGCTGGTGAGAACATGCACTGGTACCAGTCTTGGAAGGCATGTTGGTAATGCCGCACAAAACTACATATGTACTTGCTTTTTGACCCAAGAGTCCCACTTCTAGGAATCTATCCTGGAGATAAACTTCCCCAAAATACAAAAATACACATGCCAAGGCTATTTATTATAACATTGTATGTGCAAAATATTGGAAGCAAGCCAGATTTTAACACATAGGAGAGTGGTTAAATAAATTATGGTACATCTACACAATGGAGTGCTGTGCTCCTGTAAAGTAGAATGAAGAAGATATCTCTATGAACAGATGGAGTGATTTCCAGGACATATCCCTAAGTGACAAGGAAATAGCATGTTACCCTTCATATGAGAGAGAATAGTACATAAAGACATAAAAAATACATGTATATCTGCACATTTATGCAAAAAATATACAAGAAAGGTAAATGAGAAGAAAGTGAAGAGATTGGTTACCTACAGAAAAGGTATAGAAAAAGTATCAGAAGAAGGAATGAATAGGGACAGACTAGTAGAGATAAAGAGGAGGAAAGCCTTTTCTGAATATATTTTTTACATAGGTTTAATTCTTAGAACCATAGTGATGTTTCACCTACATAACTTTCCCCTAATAAATAGTTAAAAATCAACCAGGAAGTGGGAGAAAACCAAAATGGAATGTTATCAGTAACATATGAACCTAACCTTATGATAAATGACTATCACAATCACACTGGAGTGAATGGAGAATTAAAGAACTAACCTAAAGAACTTTGGAAAACAATATTTTGATTGGATACTGTGAGACTAAAGAGGAAAAGAACTCTATGTAAATATGGTATCTAGGTAGTAAATTTGTTCCTCTTATGTATAGATTATTTGTTCCTCTTATGTATAGCAATTGTGTAACTACTTTTGTGTATACTAGTATTAAACAAATAAGTGAGTATATTGCAGATAATGAAAGCAGGGTCTCTCACTGTTGTCGAAATAAGTTACAGATAAATAAAAGGGGAAGCATAGAATGAGCCTCATGATGTTTGGATTAGAATCAGAGGTATCAATATGGACTCATGATGTGTAACATATATACAAATAGATAGGTGTAAAAATACATACAGGCATGTATATGTGTAGGTTAGCATTCATATGTGCATTTTCTAGCTTTGTCCACTGAGGGCCTACGAGTAATGGTATCACAGTAACATGAGCACACCAAATGGCAAAATTTTGGTTTATAAATACTATCCTTCAATGAAAGGAACCAACCTCCTTGGAAAAGTAGTTGATTCCAGAATGGGGGAAGAGAAAATAAAACATAAGACTGGAAAATCTTGTAGTGGCAGACAATAAGGAAGTGTGCTAAAAAGAGAAGAATGAGGGTATGTCATAAAGATACAGGAGCCAAAAAATGGAACAATTTGAGCAATAAAATATTCAGTGATAATATCGCATTATAACAAGTAGAATAAAATATATATCCTTGATGCCATACTGTTACAAATAATACAGTTAAGTAAATAAATACATGGGTAGAAGGGACAACTCTTCCCTATAGAAAAATTTCAATTAACAAATGTAGAAGATATGAAGGAAATACAAAATGATTCCTAAATAATGATAAAATCATTGGGCAAAAGTTTGAGGATATTAGCATAGTCTCAAACTATCTCTATTAATTACAAAGGGAAATAATAGTCACTTCAAAGAGGAAAAACCTTGTAAATTCGACCTTAACCAATAATCAAGGCTAACATCACCAGTGATAAGGCATGACTTCATTTACCCTCTGATATATACTGAGAAAGACAAAACATTACTTATGTAGTATTCTTGCTCAAAATGCATAGTGTCATAATCATAAGAAAAGATGAGACAGATCAACATTGAAGAATATTCTACAAAATAACCGACCAGTACTCTGTCTAGAATATGAGAGACAAGGAAAGAATGAAGACCACCATGGATTATGTGAAGAACAAGGAGGCAGTGTGGGATGCCTGATTAGATCCTGGAGCAGAAAAAGGATGTAGGAGGAAAACTGATGATGGAATAAGGTTGGTAGTTTAGTTAATAGTATAGTTATAATATTAATGATCTGGTTTTGATAATTAAACTAAGATGTTACTAACTTACTAAAAGTAGCTGACTAAGGAGTATATATGAACTTTGAAATATTTGCAAATTTTTTGTAAGTCAAAAATTACTTCAAGGCCGGGCACGGTGGCTCAGCCCTGTAATCCTAGCACTCTGGGAGGCTGAGGCGGATGGATCGTTTGAGCTCAGGAGTTGGAGACCAGCCTGAGTAAGAGCGAGACCCCATTTCTACTAAAAAAATAGAAAGAAATTCTATTTTTAGCTGTACAACTAAAAATATATAGAAAAAATTAGCCAGGCATGGTCGTGAATGCCCGTAGTCTCAGCTACTCAGGAGGCTGAGGCAGGAGGATCACTTGAGACCAGGAGTTTGAGGTTGCTGTGAGCTAGGCTGATGCCATGGCACTCTAGCCTGGGCAAGAGAGTGAGACTCTGTCTCAACAACAACAACAAGAAAATTACTTCAAAATAAAAAATTAAAACAATTTCTTTAAAATTTGAATCTAGACTCAGAAAGGAGAATATGTAAAGATATGTGAGTAGTTTGCCATTTTGAAATGAAAAAGCATACATTGACTTTATGATTGATTTTTTTTATTATGGTAAAAAACATATAACATAAAATTTACTATCTAAACCATTTTTAAGTGTACAGTTAAGTAGTGTTAACTATATTCATGTTGCTGTGAAACATGCTCCAGAACTTTTTCATCTTGTAGAACCAAACCTCTCTATCCATTAAACAACTTCCCTTTCCCCACTCCCTTCAACCCTGGTAAGCACCATCATCCTTCTTCCCATATCTATGAATTTGACTGCTTTAGATACCTCATGTAAATGGACTCATATAGTATTTGTCCTTTTATGACTGACTTATTTCACTTAGCATAATATCATTAAGGTTTTTCCATGTCGTAGTGGATAGCAAGATTTCCTTCCTTTTCAAGGCTAATATTCCTTTGTATATACGTACCCCATTCTGCTTCTCCATTCATCTGTCATTGTACATCTGAGTTTCTTCTACCTCTTGGCTATTGTGAATAGTGCTGCTATGAACATGAAAGTGCAAATGTCCTCCTGGAGACCCTGCTTTCAATTCTTTTAGGTATATACTCAGCAAAGGGATTGCTGGATCATGTGGTTTACATTCACTTTTATTTTTCATAGTGAAATGTATCACAGACACAAAGAGTGCATTACATACATAAACATACAAATATAAATGTGATGATTACTTTTATGTGTCAATTTGACTGGGCCATAAGATGCCCAGATATCTCTTTAAACATTATTTCTGGGTATGTCTGTGAAGGTGTTTCTAGAAGAGATTAGCATTTGAATTGGTGGACTCAGGAAAGTATACTGCCCTACCCAGTGTGGGTGATCATTCTCCAACCTGTTGAGGGTCCAAATAGAACAGTAAGATAGACGAAAGTTGAATTTCTTCTCTCTGCCTCACTGCTTGAGTCTTTTCCTGCCCTTGGACTGAGATTTACAACATCGGCTACTTTGATTCTCAGGCTTTTAGACTCATATCAGAGCTGCTCCACTGGCTGTCCTTCATCTCCAGCTTGCAAACCGCAGGCCATGGGTTTCTCAGTCTCCGTGAGAAATTGTTAGCCAATTCTGTATAACGTATGTTCTCTCTCTCTCTCCACCCCGCATATATATAAAATAAATTTATTTCTCTGTTTATATATATACATCTACATATATATAGATGTGGCCAATATATATGTGCCTCCTATTGGTTCTGTTTCTCTAGAGGGGATTGAGTTAACACAATAAAGTATGGATGAAATTTAAAGAATAGTAGTAAAACAAACATTCATTTCTCACTATCAAGCTTAAGTAGTACCAATACCTTGAAATTCCCTGTGACCCCTTTTTTGATTTTACCACCCATACCTCCTACCAGAGTAACCACTATTATGTTAATCATTTTCCTCTTTTCTTTATGGTTTCATCATGTGTGAGTTTTTTTCTTTCTTGAATAATGTATTGTTTAATCTATGAAACAGCAAAATACTATGGTATATAAGTTAGATAAACTCTGCAAAGCTATAATCAAGGTTTTTGTAGCTGAGCCATCTCAAGGTTCAGCTGGGAGAGAATTGGCTTAGTCCCATGGCTGATTGTCTGGTGACATCAGTTCTTGGTCGTAGGAGCCTCTCTGTGCAGCAGTTTATAGCATGGCAGCTGGCTTCCCCCAGAGTGACTGAGGAAGGCAGGAAGAGAGAACAAGCAAGGAGGAAGTCAGTGTCTTTTTCTGTAACCTAATTTTGGAAGTGTCATATTGCTATATTCTATTTGTTAGAAGCAAGTCACTAGGTCCAGCCCACACTTGAGGGGAGGAGATTACACAAAGGCATAAGCACCGGAAGGGGTGCAGTCATTGGGGGTTCTCGCAGAGGCTGCCTGACCCAGGAGGTCAAGAGAAAGATCTGGGTTGGAACTCAGGGAAGGACAATCATTTCTATTTTAGACATATTGACTAGAAAATGTTTGACTATTTAGGTGGGAGATGTCCTTCTAGAAATTAGATATTCAGCCTGAGGCTCAGGTACTAGATCAGACCAAGAGGTGGAGATTTAGGTATCTTCAGCCTGTCAGTGGCAGTTCAAATCATAAGGATAGAAGCAAATATCACTCCAAGAAAATGTGCAGGCTGAAGTAGGGAGCACAAATATTTAATGCACATGCAATAAAATTAATCCACAAAAGAGATATAATTGGGATGACAGAGGCAGAAGGAGAAAATCACAGAAATGAAGAAGGAGATGGTTTCAAGAAGAGGGGAGAAGTCATCAGTGTCAACAACCACAGGGAGGTCTGCTAAGATGAGTATTAGAAAGTATTCACTGAATTGGAAATTAAGCATTTGTGGCTTTGACAGGGCTGGTTTTCATGGACTGATGGTAATAAAAGCCAGATGCTTTGATTGAGGACTGAATAACAGCTAAGGAAGTGGAAACACTGAATGAGTTTAGACTATATTTTTGAAAAGGCTGTATACACCATTTCTTATCTGAGTGTAGTGGTATACTCATGTGGCTATTTGAGAGTGATGAAAAATTGCCATTCAATAAAAAGGCTGAATTTTAAAATATTTCCTGTTAACTCTCTATATGTAAAAGATGGTTCTAAATTTCTTGAGCATATATTTGTTCCTGTGCTCTTTAAAAATGGAAAGTATTTCCACAGTTGCTGACCAAATGAAATGCATTTCCCATCACCAATCTCATAAATATTCAGCTATTGTACCTTTCCCCAAACATCCAGAGATTTATTCATTATATTGAATTGCAATCTCACCCTTCCTTTCTGCTCCTTTGTAAAGAGAAAGATAATATTTCGGCAGTTTTTGCAGTGCCTCAGTCTTGAGGGAATGTAAATATAAGCATAATTGATTTTCTGAACTTGCTTTCCCCTGCTATGTTCCAGTGCTTTATGCATTATAGGTGGAATGACTGACAAATCCGCCCTGATTGCTAATTAGAATGCAGAATATATATAGAAAGCATAGCACATATATCCAGTTTGCTCTCAGTGCAAACCCTGGAAATGTGAAACCTCTCAGTGCTCTAGTGTTGTCTATTTTCTTGCTCTTTTGCTTTGATCCAACCATTGAGGAATTACACTAGCTCTATCTGCCAGGTCAGGAGTGATTGTTAATTAAATGGTAGAGTTCACTTTGCTTCACCTTGACTCATCTTTCCTTCCGCTCCCCCCTCCGAAGTGACACTCTTTCCTCAAAAAGCATTTCTTCCCCTCACGTGTTGGCTGGATAATGGAGGCAGGTGCTCTTATCCCTGTTTGAAGCCCAAATCTTCAAGGTAATTTTACTTCAAGGTTTGGCGAAATAGGAATTCTCTCCTCTCCCCTTTCTAACTCCGGGAATAAAGAGGTCTTTTTGTGTCAGTGTGGGTAATGGCAAGGCAAGATCCCTGGGGTTCCCATTCTTCCATGTATCACCTCAGCAATCAGCCCGTGGCCCTGAAAGGAGAGGCCATCTTTGCCTTTGTGTTTGAAATGAGAGTTCACTATTCACACCAGGAAATCTGTGAGCACCTGCAGGCTGAAAAGTCAAAATTGATTTCCTTTCACCCTCTCACTAATCTGAAAGTCACCTCAGAAGCTCCCAAGATTTAATTGGTCTGTGACAGCTTCATGGTAAACACAGCCCCCTATTGAACGATTAAGAATATTAGTCAGGGTGGGGCACTGGCAACTCTGAGGGGCAGGGATCTTCTCCTCCTGGCACCTCGTCATTAAACATTTGAATAGAACTTGATTCTTGTAAATGCTTTAAACTGATTTATCTTTGTTTATTTGAAGGTGGCTTGGAAGCATCATAGCAGACTGAACTGTATGAAATTGCCAATATTTGTGTGTTTTTGAACTTTAAAGATGGCAATTTCATAAGGTTCAGCTACTGTTGGAGAAATGGAAGATTGAAGCCTGTAGAGACTAAATGAATTCTGAGTTCCCATCAAGAGTCTTTGTCCTTATAACCAATGGATTAGGAAAGTCATATATTTTTTCATTAACAAAACATTTGTTTCATATCCATTCTTCACTGCTTAATTACCCAGTAGGCAGATCAGCTACGCATGTAGGGACCCACAGAATAGGGCATTATGTTTTCTCTGATTTAGTTCAAAATCGTTTAGCATAGAATGTATGATATATATGTGTGTGTTTAGTTAGTTTAACTTACCTCCAGGGCAGCTTGCTAATATTTGAAGTACCCTAATCAGAAATACACACTCCAGGGGAGGTTAGTTAGCATTTGAAAGACTCTAATCAGGTAGCTACTGTAAATGTTTAACTCTCAGCCATCTCAATTATCACTAGAGGGTCTATTAACTAGCCTGAGGGATGTTAGCAATAATTTTAAATTAGTGAAATAAGTACTCTTCAAGATAAGTATATTGGCTAGAAATAGGGCATAGACACT